ACCAGGGGCTGTGTGTGTGTGTGTGTGTGTGTGTGTGACATTCTTCAGCAGCCTGACTCCAGTGTGGAAAAAAAAAATCAAGACTGTAACACTGGGGACTTTAATTTATTAGTTACCTTCAGTTTATTAGTTACCTGCCAGTCTGGTAAAGGTTCTGAGGATCTCTTGCCTGTGTAGATAACTGGCATAGGTCAAGGGAAATAACGCTGACATTTTGGGATAAAACTGGCCAAATGATCATCATTCCTGAATGGTTCCTATCATCTTCTCACCATTCTGCCTTTTTGACACATTTTCCCATTTTCCCCAAAATTCCCATTTTTCACTGTTGACTTCCAGAAGGTCTCTTAGGATCGATGCCTAGAATACACCTGGGTCTATCATCTTTAGAACTACAGTTCTTCGTAATCGTAAATAAATGGCATTGCCATCTCCGTGTCCTCATTGCTTGGGCAAATAAGAGTGTCCAGCAAGACCACATCAAATGCTAAATCCCATGACCACAACTTGCCACCCCGACCTGACTGGACATGACACCAACGATCACTACGGCATCTGATTGTTATCATCTTTTTTTTTTTTAAAGCCACAGTTTTCTTCCTCTGCCAACCAATCTGAACCCATTTTATAAGATTTCATGAGATACTCTATTTACTGTTATCTACATGGTGTTTCCTCCTAGCCCCAATTCTCCAATTCTGTAATGTGCTTGCAAATGCTATTATACTTGTCGGACATGGTTTGTTTCAATAATCTCATAGCCTTTTTTTTTTTTTTTACTGGAATGCCATAGCTCTCTATATGTTTACTTATTCTTTGCTTGTTTATCAAGTGCACAAAGCATCTCCCACCTTCCCACTGCCTCCAGAGCACCAGGCACTGCGTTTCTATGTCAGGTAAGAGAGGGACATGGAGCAGGGGAGGCAAGGAAGAGTGGGTGAGGGACGGGGTAGGAAGGGAAGTAAGATATTCCCAATACTCTCCTGTTACAACGTGTAACCATCTGGGTTTTTATCAGTTTTCATTTAGAAGGTAAAATGTGCTTAAAACTAAACATTCCCTATCTGAACTCTTGAATGGCCAAATGTAACAGTGTCAGCTGTTTGGTACTAAATCTCTTTCTAAAAGCAGTTGCAGAGGCACCGGGCTGTCTCAGTCTGTTAAGCGTCTGACTCTTGATTTCAGCTCAGGTCATGATCTCAGGGCTGTGAGATCGAGACCCAAGTCGCCCTGCATTGGGTATGGAGTCTCCTTAAGATTCTCTCTCCCTCTCCCCCTCCTTCTCCGCAACCCCCCCCCATAAAAATAAACAAAATAAAAGCAGTTGCAAAATCAAGTGCCCCCCAGCAGGAAAAACTAAACATCATCACCAAAACCCAGCCATGTAATTTTTTCTACTCATAACTGAGCTTACCACCAATGCCCCCTTGACCTGTGTCCACACACCAATGCCAAGGCCAAGTAACAGACCAGACTCCCCTTTAGGATAAGGCACTACTGTGCGCTGGCCAACTACTTACTCTGCATACATCATCTCTAGTCTTTACAAACTCCAACGAGGTGGCTACAGCTATCCTCACTTTACAGATGAGAACCTGGGGATGGGAGAAGGTAAATGACTTTCCCAAGCTGAAATGGCTGGAAAGCAGCAGAGTGGGATTCACATGAAGGACTTTAGACTCCAAAGCTCTTACTCAGTTCCCTAAGTCAGGCTGCCTCCCCAGTGGAACTCCCCAGGCCCCCACAAAGGTTGCCACAGACTCTACCATCTCTTCATCATCACCAATAAATATTTATGAAGGACCCTCCGCCTACATGCCATTGCCCTTGTTTCCACAGCAACGTGCTGTCAGAGAGTCACGGGAGTATCCCGTGCTTAAAGGAAGGATGCTGTACAGTCCTGTGATCGTGGCTCTGAAAGGTGACAGTTACACTACTCCCGCGGATGCTGTCACAGCCGGCAGCCACAAACCTGCAAGCGCTATGCTAGGGACCAGCAAGAAGGAATGGAATAGAGTGGAAAGGTAGTAGGTTTTTACCCAAGAAAATGGTCTGCTCTCATTGTGGATGCGTTTTGTGATTGCTGCTGAAACAGAATCCAAGCCAGGTTTGCACATTAATTATTCTTTTATTAGGAAAGAAATCAAGCAATCCAGGAGAGAAAATAAAATTTGACTGTACCGCTAACAGCTCCCCAGAGATAACTGGCGATGAGAATCGAGTTAAATGACTACATCGCTAACAACTGCAATCTCAAGTCTGTCCCCTCTACGATCCATTTTTGCTCTCAGTGTCCAGAGAGGCTGAAATCCACTAGTAAATGGACTAATTATCCCTTTATCTGTTTGTTTGTTTCTCTCTTGCCCTATCCCAAATGATGTTTTGCCACACTCTCAGCAAGCTGATTTCAAATGCTTTTTTCAATCATTCTTTACAAACATCACCCTGGCTCATGAAACACATCTTAGAGTAGGAAGACGGAAACTGCCCTTTGATGACAAGCTCTCACCACTAACCTTTGGACATGGTGACCAACATGTTACAGCAAATCCTATCACCCTAACTGTGTATTAGATGCAAGCTTACAAATTTGAAGTGCTTTTAAGACGGAATTTTCAGATTAAAACAATATGGAAAGCATGCCACCGAGTTTTAAAATGTACTATTTACCCAAACTTGCCAAAAGTTTTAAATAAGATACTTTAAAGGAAATCAAGACATTGTCATATTTGTACTAGATTTGGATTCCAGCAATTTCAGCATTTAGAAATAAAGTAAGATGGTAAATCCACTTTAAAAAGTCAACACTTGCAGAATTCCTGCATCTACAAATAGAGATCTTTATGAAGAAGTCTGGGGGGAAAAAAAAAATCTAATTTAAATGGCCCAAGACGTCAGCATTAAACCAAAAAGCAGACAGATATGCACAGAAAATCCCCATTTTTACAAATTAATGAGGCTCTCTCGCACACAAGCTACTCCCGCATGTTTAAGGAGCCCCTGGAACAAACGCAGTCACTTGCAAAGTATATGCTCTAGTCGGTTTGCAGAAGCCAAAAGGCTCGGGTAGAACCAAAAGAAACCAGAGGAGCCTTCAGAGTAGGTATCTTCCCAAACTGTGGTCCTGGATTGCTTTTCTTCCCCTTGTGTTCCAAAGGGCAAACAAAGAAAAGGTGCTTGCTCCTCACACCTCTCTAAATGTTTTAACAAAAGGCTGCTGAATAAACACATTACTCATTTAAAATTTGAAAAGAAGTTCTATTCCTGCGATGAAAGCAACTCGATTTGCATTTTAACAGTTGTGGGCGAGCGCCACCTGGTGGGAGCAGCGCGAGCAGCGCGCTTTCTGCCTTGGACAGTTTCCCCAACCCAGCAGGGTTTTACCGCTTGCTACCAGAAAACGGCGGCGGAATATTTTTAATATTCGGAGGGGTGGGCGAGGGGGTTGGCTGGGGGTGGGTGGGTGGGAAGGAGGCTTCGCCGTGGGAACGTGAGTTCTGTTAATGCGGGACAGGCCGGCCTGGCCCTGGAGGAAAGTAAGAATTTAAGTCCCAAATCACGCAGGGCTGCCCCCAGCATCCCCTCCTCCTCTCCCCTCTGTAGACACCTCATACAGACCCAAAATGGGAATAGGAATTGTACACCATCTTTAGAATGGCGTGGTGCCTGCTAATCCAACCTTCCAGCCTCACACACCTCAGAAGTGTCCTAGTCACCTAACTTCCCAGCCACGGAAACAGGCTGTCCCTTCACAAACTCCCATCCCCGCTTCCCATTTTGCTATGGCGCAAGAGAGACGCCAGTGCATTTCCCCTGGAAGGTCACTCCAGCGGTTCCTAACCTCAAAGGCAGCCTGCTTAAAGAGGTTTCACTCCACCGTGAAACCTCTTTTTTTTCTTCTTCTTCTTTCTTTGCTTCTTCAGGATAATATATGGGCACCGCCGTTACTTAGCAATCCGAAACTAATCTTTCCCTAAATCTCACTTGTTTGTCTCGGCCTGTCCCTGGGATCCCAGCAATCTCCGTTCCGTGTGGTCCCACCAAAGCCAATCGGTGGTCGGAAACTTCAAGGTGATTTTGAACTTGGAAGCATACCTACGCCACTCCTTCCCTTCTGTCCCCCCACCTGCCGCCCACTCTTTGAGGGCTCGGAGCTGGAAGCGGCCTGCGGCGGGCGGGGTTTGGTGAAGTGTAAGACCCGGGACGGTGGTGGTCTCCTGGGCATGCCAACTTACCATTAGGAGCACACCAGCCCCCCCCCGCCCCCACTGAGAACTACCTCTGCTCACCTCCTTCCTACGGCCAAACCCAAATACGAGTGTCCCCACAAAAAAAAAAACACCCCACAACTTTTCGGGAACAGTCAGCCTCACAGGTCGAAGCCATTCTTGCTTGAAGGGCCTTAACTGGGGTGCCCATACACTCCGCTAAAAACCACGGGCTAGGAAGGAGGCAGTGCTGTCTCAGTCGTTAACATGAACACCCCCACGGTGCCTTCAGCGGATTGCTTCAGGACTAGCCGAGGGGCGCGGCGTATTTAGAGCAAAGTCTGAAGCTTGCCGTCTCTCCCTGGAGAAAAGAAAAGCCACCGCCCCGGCAGCCTCGGCCTGCCGGCGACCAGCGCTCCCCGCGAAAAGCGCGCGCTGCCCCCGAAGCTGCGGGAAGCGAACGCTCCACCCCGGGCGTCGGTGCCCCAAACACTCCAGGGACGGATTCCGACAAGTGGGAGGCAGCAAGTGGAGACATTCGCAACAACCGCGAAAGTTCCTCCAGCCCCGGGGCCGCCAGGAAAGTCGGGCGGGGAACTTCGCCAAACGCGGGCTGCCCGGGGGACGCGCGGGCCCGGGCGCATCCGACGCAGCTGGCGGCGCGGGCGGCGGGGAGCCGGCTCCGGCCCTCGGGACGCGCCCCCCGCGAGCCCGCGCAACTTTCTCCCCCGGGGGCCCCGCGGCGGCGGCGGGCGCGCCGGGGAGGGAGCGGGGCCCGGCGGGCGCACTCACCTGCGGCGCTCTGTGCGCGGGCGCCGGGCAGCGGCGGCAGCTGCAGCCGCAGGAGCAGGCTGAGGGCAAGCGCGGCGAGGCTCGCCATCCGGGCGGCGGCGGGCGGCTCAGCCCCTTCCCGCGGGGGCCGGGGCCGGGGCCGGGACTGGGGCGGGCGCGGGGCGGCCCCGCATCGCCGGCGCGGCCGCACGCAGGGGCTCCGTGGCGCTCCCGGAGCCGGCGCCGCTGCGCTTGGAGCCGAGGCGCGGCGCGAACTGAGGCGGGCGGCTGGGCGGGGGCGGGACGCGGGGGGCGGGGGCGGGGGGCGGCGTCCCCCGAGTCCTAACGCCGCCGCCGCCGCCGCCGCCGCCCGCCCGGCGCTCCGCCCGGGCCGCGCACACACCCTCGCGCGCACGCCCGCGCCCCGCACACGCCCGCGGCCGGCACCCGCCGGCTCCCCCGCGCACCCTCGCCGGCGCTGGCAGGCTCGGGGCCGCCGGCTCCGTCGCGCTCCCACACGCAGCACCGCCCCCCACTCCGCGCTGCACCCCCGCGCCCCCACGCGCGCCGGGTCCTGGCCTCCTCGCCACGCGCCGCGCGGCGCCGCCAAGCATCGTCTTCCCGGCTGGGGCGCAGGTACCGGGGGCGGTGGGGGGAGGCGGGCGAGGGGGAGCAGCGGTGTGAACTCGGAGTGGGGGAACAGGTGAGTGGGGGCCGGGTGGGAGAGGAGGAAGGGAGGGAGAGGCCGTCTCAACTTGGGATTGGGGGGGAAGGGGACAGGTGAACGGGGGGAGGGGTCATCTGCCCTAAGCTGGGGCGGGCATCTGCCGGCGAGGGGCTGGGGCACGCCCTGAGAGGAGAATTTCATCTAAGAGTCGACAGCCCCCTCACCGTACGCCCGCGCACACACATACACATATGCTCTTCTGGGGGCATCCCACCTCCTTGGCCACCCAAGCACCCCTCTTATTCACCCCCATCTCTCCCCGTCCCCACCCGCACGCGGGAGGGGGAGAAGACTGGGCATGAGGCATCCCTCTCTCGCTCAATGCCTTCCCCCTTTCCAGTTCTCGAGAGACAGAACCGTGTAGCTTTTTTCCTTTTTCTTCCCGGTCTGAACAAAGACCTGGTTGGAAATGAAAACCTAAAACCACAGATCAGAGTCTGAGCTGTCCCTTGCAGCTCAAGGGCTGGGACTCTGCTCTCCTGGGAGCCAGGATCTCATGGACAAGACCTGGAGCCACTTGGGTCCTGGCTGGGAGCCTGGGCTGTAAAAGCTGGGAACAGGGACACCTAAGCAATGCTCCAGGAATTCATACTTGGTGAACCTGGCCAAAGCCTTCCTTCTGTTCCAGCACACCCTCCCCACCCCCCACCCCCACCTTCCTTGCTGGGATTTCAAGGATTGGATTGGACGGACTATGGGGCAGAAATATGAAAGTCAGGCATGGTTAGGGTTTCCAAAAGTGGGAAACCTCAGGCTGCGGTTTGAGTGGTGGTGGCAGAGAACAGGAGGCCTCACTCTCCCACCCCTCCAGTTCCCTTGATGTTCAGTGGACAGGAATGCTGCTGGTGAGCCAGGACCAGGGTCCAACCTTGACACCAGGCTGTACCTGCCCAGGGTGAACCCTGGCCCTCTATGCTTTCCCAGCTGTCCTCCACACGTGGAAACCGTCCCCTCCATTCCTTCAGGAGTGCATGTTCTCACCTGCTGCTGCCTGACTAGGCTCTGGTGTCCAGTCACACGTCGTGCTTTTGGACCTGCTGTTCCCTCCACCTAGAAGGCCCTTCCCTGCATCATCTCCCTGGTAAACTCACACTGGTCCTTAAGGCATCTCTGGGAAACTTTAGCTGAGAGCCCATTGCTGATTGGGAAAAAGAGGGGGGCTGCTTTCCCCATCTGCCTTTCATCAGCCTGAGAAGCTGGAGAAACCTGGCCACGTGCTCATCGCTGGCTCACGGCTGAGGTCAGTGTCAGTACTGAAGAGGGGAGGCTGGGACCTGGGGTGAGTTTGTGATGTCTGGAAATTGTGGAGTGACGCTCTGCCCTCTATCTCCTTTCAATTCCAGTCAAGAAGATGACCTCTTGTCCTTGGGATGACTTTACCCTTAACCCCACGGGACCTTTGGGATCAGTTTCCCCATCTAAACAGTGGCTTCCCTTTCAGCTCTGTTGAGGGCCAGAAGCAGTCAGACATTTTAGCTGCAAATCTCATTAATCTGAGCACAGTTTCAGGGGAAGCTTAAACCATTCAACATTCTTTCAACAAGTGAACTGGCTGCCCACCATATGCCCAGAATGGCAAGACTGTGGGTTTGCAGCTTACAATAGATGTGGTCTGTTCCCTCATGAAGTTTACAGTCTGGTGGAAAAGACTGGACAAAGAGCAGAGCAGTAAAGGACCTGGAGATGCAGAAATGGCCTCCATCTCCCCAGCCCCTCCCTGGCCCACAGCGGTGGGCCGTCCTCCAGTGAAGAGCAGAGAATCAAGGGGAAGACATCTTGGGCCATGGTGTCTCACTTACCCATAGGGAAAGCCTAGTAATATAGCCACTGTTTTATGCCCATCTTACACACCAAGAAACTAAGGCTCAGCGAGGGCAAAGATCCTGTGTAGGGAGGCAGGGAGGAGTGACTGCCACGTTGGAGCCTTCTGTCTTCTTGCTATGGCACAGGATACCACTAGCCATTTAAATTTAAAATTTAAAAATTCAGGAGCACCTGGCTGGCTCAGCCAGTGGAGCATGTGACTTGATCTTGGGGTTGTGGGTTCAAGCCCGAAGTTGGGTGTAGAGACTACTTAAAAAAAAAAAAAATCTTAAAAATAAAATAAAATTTAGAAATTCAGTCATCAGTAGCACAAACCACATTTTTTTTTTTAATTTATTTGACAGAGAGAGATCACAAGCAGGCAGAGAGGAAGGGAAGCAGGCTCCCTGCTGAGCAGAGAGCCTGATTCGGGGCTCTATCCCAGGACCCTGGGATCATGACCTGAGCTGAAGGCAGAGGCTTAATCCACTGAGCCACCCAGGTGCCCCCACAAACCACATTTTAAAAGCTCAGTAGCCACCTGTGACTCGCGGCTGTCATATTGGCAGATATAAACATTTCCATCATTACAGAAAGAAAATTGTTAGTGCTGCTCAAACTATAGCCCGTGAGCCAAATCTCACCCACTGCTTGTTTTTTTAAATAAAGTTTTATTGGGGCACAGCCACGCTATTCATTTGTGTACTACCTATGGCTGCTTTTTGCAAAAGCTCTATTAGACACCGCTGCTCTGGAGCGGGGGTCAGCCATCTACCAACACTGGGCCAAACCCGGCCCCGTCTGTTTTTTCTATAAATAAAGTTTTATTGGAACACAATCCTGCATATTTGTTTACATATTACCTATGACTGTTCTCTAGACTACAGAGGCAGAGTTTAGTGATTGTGACAGAGATCCTGTGGCCCACATCTGAAAATAACTACTATCCTTGCCCTTGACTGAAAAAGTTTGCCAGCCCCTCCTGTAGAGGCAGTCTCACAGCACAATCTTACAATCACTGGTCTAGAACTGGTTCTCAAATTGTGGTCTTCGGGCCAGTGGTATCAGTGTCACCTGGCAATGTGTCAGAAATGCAGAGCCTCAGGCCTTCCCCTGGACCTACCCAGTCAGAAACGGTGGAGGTGGGGCCCAGGAATCTGTGTTTTAACCAGCCTCCCAGGTGAATCTGACACACACTCAAGTTGAAAACCACCAACCTAAAACACCCATGATGAATGTGCGCATGTGACGGGCACAGTAGAGGTGCCAGTGGGCTCTCGTGGGAACACAGCCATTGGAAATTTCTCAGCCAAGGATAGCCCTTGTGCAGCAAGGCCTTTGACGTCCCCTCGATGAAGCCATAGCAGCCGGGAGAGGACCCCTCACCAGCCACCCATGCCAGTGTCCAGGCCCCACTGCCTGGAGGTCCACCTTCCCCCCGAGTTGTCAGCACATTTGAAGTTGTCTCTACACATAAATTCATGGGCCAGCTGTCTCTTTTAATCTGGTTGCAAAACGAAACCATTAATAGATGTCAGACACATTGGCAATGATCTCTTCATTAATAATTTCCTCCTTTCTGAAGAAAAAAAATTAGTAACAAGCAATCATCAATAATTCAAAAATACAAGTTAACCTTTCTATTCGTGAGTGGCTTTGCACACATCACGGACTCTCTCAGAGCCAGTAGTTCTGGCCTGAATGGTGTTCTATGGCACAAATATTAGTATGCATTAATGCTGTCTGTCAAGACACGCCAATATAAACAACCCGAATGCAACTTAGAAACCATGAGTAGTTTTCAAGTGTAACCTCGTGGTCCAGCCGTTTTGTTCTGTGAAAACATGCATTATCCAATAATACGGCTGTGTCCAAAAGCAGGACTTCAGGAAGGAATCGTTTTCAGCTTGAGGCGCTGGTGGTTAGAAAGATTTCCCTTGAGCTGAACCAACACTCCCACTCTGTAAATCTCCTCCGTTGGCAGTTGGCTCCTCTCTCTGGGAACACATGGGAAGAGCCTGGACCCACTTCCAGGGGACTCACTTGGACGCTGGTGTGCTCTGGGTTAACATTCTCGATTCCTTACACGCTGCTGGTTCCTATATGATTCCTGGTCTCCCGCCATCTGGTTCCTCTTCCTGGACATGCTGTATTTTGTGTAACACCCCTCTTTGGGGTGAGGCCTCACACCTGCCCACACTACCCACGCCTCCGTTTACCACCCAGGTGACCACGAACTCGGCACTCTTCCTCTCCCATTCTGTTTCCCCATCTGTGAAATTGGGGTGATTATTCCCACCTCGCCGAGCTGAGTGAGAATTACGTGAGTTAATGAATGTGAAAACATCTAGAATAGGACCTGGCCCACTCAAGAGATCGTTTCCTTTCCTTTATTTCCTACTTGCAAGTCTTGAACTAACATACCACCCCAGCCTTGATTCCAGGCCAACTATTAGAGACACCTGGTCGGCAACACAGCGCGGACAGCCAGCTGCTTCGCCCGCGGGCCCAAACACCAGCGCACGGTCCAGACTATTGGCAAGTAGACCTACGTGCTTGGGATGCCCTGGATTTAATGCAAGGACCACATCTCTCTTTCTGCCTAAGTGGGATCTGCCAAACAGCGGTTTCTTTTAATTAAAAAAAACATATACAAAACAACACTAAGTGATGTGTGCCACGTACCCACCACGGATGATTTGTCTCTAACCTGCGTCCAGCCTCATGCTGAGCAGTGGGGTGCC